TGCAGAGGTGCAGTGTCGGCAGGCATCACTGGTGCAGCTGCAGGAGGAGGTGGAGCAGCAGCGAGCCCAGCTCGAGCAGATGGAGCTGGATAAAGACTCCCAGCTGATCAGCCTGAGGGAGGAGCTGCTCAGCCAGACGCAGCAGCTAGATAGCTGCCAGGCGCGGGTTAGCACTCACACACACACACACACCTCAGGAATACCTACATGTAGGGCTCGACCATAGGGCATATAAATAATATCTATATTTGCAGGCTATGCTGTGATATGCAATCTATGAATATGAATTAACGGTCCGCGTGGTATTGTATGTGCTGCTCAGATCTCGTACCTGGAGGTTGAGGTGGAAACCTTGACAGAACAGCTCCACAGCCCTGAAGTGTGTGAGGAGGATCAGAACGGCAGTGTGACGGTGGATGATCTGGATCACATTCAGAAAGTCAACAGAGAGCTCGAGCAGCAGCTCTCCGACAAGAACAGGGTCAGTTACCTTTTTACTGCCATCCTGCAGTCCTGCTGGCTCTTAGAGAGTAGCTGCACACTTCAACGTGTTGTTTAATCTGTAAACTAAAGGATACGACTGTACTGGGATGAAACACAGCAACTTTATAATTATTTGCATTTCAGAGTCGAAAAATGGCCCAAAACTCCATCTACTGTTTTTGAATCAGCCGTTCTCTTGCAAGGCCAATTCTGAGATAGAATTGACTGTTTGGGACGAGTCTATGTCATGAAATAAAAGAATGTTAACGAATTGAATCAGACTCCCTTCTCGCCTGTAACCAATGTGTAGCATTACATTCACAGCACAGCTCAAGCCCGCTTCTGCTTTTCTGTGGACATGAAATGAAGCTATCAGCACATTACAACAACCAGTGAGTCCGTGTTGAGGACTGGGTATCTGGTGATAGCCATGTGCTTTCCTACGCTGTGACAAGTGTGTGAAGATGAAGCATTCATTTGTTTAATTTGTCTTTATTTAATGGCTGGCTAGCTAGCATGCAAACATTAGCTTGCTAATTCCACCACGTTTTCATTCTAACGTTAAAAATGTCCTGAACAGCGAGCTGGTGGCCAGCGGCAGCGTTGGGTCCCTCCTCCCTGCCGCTAGGAGAGCAGATTGCCACTGTGGAGACAGAGGTGCTGGGCTTTGTGAATTGTCTGTTTTCAAAGCTGGTGCCTGCTCTCCTTCTGGGAACTTGTCTCCCAGCAGTGGGGAGCGAGTTAATGGGACTGTTGGTGTACTTGTTGTCTCAATTGTGGTCTGATAAACAGCAATATCAATATCGGCTTCAAGCAGCTACATTCGATCAGCACACATAAAACACACTGACATTGCTTTGCAGACCATCAAGCAGCTGCAGCAGAGACTGGCAGAACTGAAGAGGACGCTGCAGAAGGAACTGGTGAGTTTTCCTTTGCTCTCACAATATGTCTGCAAACTGAGCATTTCTTGATAAGGGAGCTGGTCCACCCGGTTCTTGTTTAAATTAGCTGCCCGTCACTATGAGCAGCCAAGGGTCACCAGTTAACACGGTCACTTGTTAAACCAAAACATGGGACACCATTGAAGGCTGTGTCTTCTGTTTGTGATGCAAACTGAGCACAGTTTACTTTGTGGTCAGTAGTTTGCCCTATTTAGAGCAGCTAATGATTTATTTCTGATTATGGATTTATTCTGGGGGACCACCGTAGCCCCTCGACAGAGACCGTGTCTTTACGCTGGTTCATTCCAGACGTCACCCATGTAAACTAATTGGGCTTTTCACCCAGGAAGCAGCTGGCTCACGATCTTTTAGAGATATTTTAGTGTCTGGTCTATTTTCTAGATAACACACCAATGATTTACAATCTATAACTGTGACAAAGTGAGTGAGAACACACCATTTGTCCCCATATTACACTGATCTATCAATCTATGGAGTATGTACAGGTAGATTTGTAGGTTCGTTGTGATTTTACGCTGTTTTACATTGTTGTGAGTGTATAGCAAATTGTAAACCATATAAAATTGTTGGCTACCTAAAGGGGTGCTGTGAGGTAGAGCTTTTGTCTATTGGAGTCAGTAATTGGTGTCACCTGCACTCATGGTAGAAACTAGATCCTGCTGATAGGAGGCTCTATATAAGGACATGACTCTGACTGAGCAGGGGAGAAAGGAAGATTAGTGTGTAGCTGTGTGCACGTGATTATGTTACTTGATGATGAGTTGAGTTTTATTCAGTTAAGCTAAGTTAACAGTTTGTTTGTATATACGTTTGGCTACACGTGTAGCAGAGCACTTTTGTAAATAAAACACCTTTTTGTTATCTGGACAAAGTCTCTGGTGTGTGCCTCCTACCACTTCAGAAGCCACTCAGGTCAGGCTTCACCACAATAATATATATATATATATATATATATGATCTTATTCTGATAAATGGTCAAATAATATACATCCTGTGCTTTTTACCTCCTTCTCCTCTCTCCCTGCTGTTTCCCCCGATTTTCAATTACAACAAAAACCGGACCGAACTGTGTAGGAGCGTAAAGTCCTGGCTAAAGTTGTGTCGTGTGAAAGAGGCAAAAGAACCTGCTTGGAGACAAGATTCTCTGGTCTAATGAAACCGAGATTTAATTGTTTGGCCTGAATTCTAAGCGTTGGGTCTGGAGAAAACCAGGCACCGCTCACCATCTGTACAATACCATCCCAACAGTGCAGCATGGTGGTGGCAGCGTCATGCTGTGGGGGAGGGGTTCAGAGGCATGGGTGACAGGGTTGCGGGAAAGCTCAACAGAGCAACGTACATAGAGATCCTTAATGAAAACCTGGTCCAGAGAGCTCAGGTCACCTTCCTGCAGGACAATGACTCAAAGCACATAGCCAGACGTGTGTGAATGTCCTTGAGTAGCCAGAGCCCAGACTTGAACCCAACCGATTTAAACTCTTGTTTTCACTTTGTTGCTTCGGGGTATTGAGTGTAGGTTGATGAGGGAAAACATGAACTTAAACGATTTTAGCACAAGGCTGCAACACAACAGAATGTAAAAGAAGTGAATACACTGTACAAGTGTTTCCTTCTCTGTCCTCCATAGAAGCTCAAGCCTGAGCCAGAAGCTGAAGGGAAGGAGAGGTTTCCAGAAAGCCGAGCAGAAAAACAAGAGAGGGTTTATCCTGACCCGCTGCCAGCATCTACACTGAGCCCCCCGACCTCCAAGACGACGGTGACCAATACCTCAGACCTCAACGACTCACGAGAAATCAACTTTGAGTATCTCAAGCACGTCATACTCAAATTTATGTCATCCAGAGAGGCTGAGGTAAGTCCTCAGTAGGTCTGCCTGGTTTTTATTGACGAAATGACTGATCCTGGTTCTGTTACAAACCCAGCCTGAATCTGTGTCTTGCTCCGTCAGGCTTTCCAGCTAATACGAGCCGTATCTGTGCTGCTAAACTTCAGTCGGGAGGAAGAGGACATGTTGAAACAAACTCTGGAGTACAAGGTTGGTATTCAGTCTGCTGCTTCAAGCACTTCATTTCAGGTTCAGACCGACCGCTGCTGAATGCGTCGGTAGAAGATAGAGACGCCTCGACTGGAGATGTAAACCATCTAAGCAGAGATAATAAGAACTAGATCTAAAGGAGAATACATATTTGAAAGCAATACAGAATGCCTGAGTGCCTGACTTTATGTTCCACTAGATTTTTCGATTTTTAATTGTCACCTGCATTTTGTGTTTTTTTTTTTTTTTTTTATGTAAACAAAGATTTTTTTCCTCCATAAATTGATGGAGAAAAAATGTAATGCTCAAAATGTGATGGGGGAGGAGCTAAACCAAACACAAGAGGTGTGTAGTATGCAACAGTGTAGTAGTTGGTAACAGTTGAGATCAAAATGAAGGCAGTCTGAAGGTGGGTGTGGTCCGAACAAGGGTGCTGGAAGTAGTGGGGTGGGAGCCACCTCAGGCCTTTACACACGGGGCGTGACGCATGAAAACACAAAAAAAGCTAAATAGTTGCCGGCAAATATTTAGCATCAAAACTATTCATACCAGCAGGGATGCAAAGTTGCCAAAGTTGCGAGACACTGTTTCAATAATAGGTGTCGATAGATTGGTGCAGGCTGAGGACCAACTAGCAGAATCCTGTTGACCCAGAGCCGCGTCCGGCAGTCTGTCTGAGCTAAACTGTTAGCATAAAGCTACTGTTTTTGCATTTCCTTTTAGTGAGATGCTCTCAGTGAATGGGATTTCCTTTTAGAATACACTCACGCGGTGTATATGTCTAGGGCTTTTATTCTGAAAGGTAAGAACGGAAGGAGTGGATCTGGTCTGTCGAGGTTGAAAGGAGTGAGACAGTTTGCCGTCTTGGTTTGGACCTCTGAGCCTCTGACCTCTTGATGCTTTTATTCACCGTGCAAATGCTCAACCTCATTCCGAAAGAGAAATCATGGCTCTGTATGGCCGTGTAATATTGTGTGAAAGTATTGATGACAAACATATATTGATGTGCAAAGGCCTCTCTTTACCTGGTGACTGCTATGTTTGTGTTCTAGATGTCCTGGTTTGGATCCAAGCCTTCTCCAAAGGGAACCATCCGCCCTTCAGTCTCAGGCACCTCGCCTCCGTGGAGCTGATGAGCAGCAGGAGGAGCTGAAGTGGTGGAGATGAGGGAACCACGGCATGCTCTGTGTGGGAAGGGCTGTTTTGTTCTGCTCTGTGGGGACAGAGAGGGGCTGCACAGTATGTTCATAATCAGATGATGATTTTTAAATGACGACATTTCCTCGTCAGTGGTTCAGGCAGACTTTTGGCCATATGTTTAGAGGATAAACTGACGCACGTCATTCATACCGGAATTTTAAGAGTGTAATTTTTCTTCCCCGACGTATGTCACAGATATGTTTTCAATTCTGTGAAAACTGCAAAAAGTGAATTATTCAGAAAATGAGATGCAGAAATTGAAAGAAATAACGGACTGACTCGACTGTTTCCTTAGGAGCTGCCTCGTTTCTACCCAGACTCAAAATACACAAGTCACATCTGTTTTTGTTGGAACAAGACAACAATACGACTTGATACAACTGTCTTCACTGGACAGGTGGTGCAGCTTTGATAGCTTGTTACCTGGTTAATCTTTCTATTATAATCACAGAGGGCTTCTTAATGAAAATGACTGGTACAGGTCACCACAGCCGGTGTGGTTTCAGTGTCAGTGAGACTCTAGTAGAACATGCCAAATGGACATAAATGGTTCACATTTGTGTCAAAGGATCTAAACTGGTCTAGATTTAGAGTTTGAAGCCTGTGGAAGTCTTCGTGATAGCATTGAAAGGAATGTGTGTGTTGACTATGTTCTGATGGCCAAGGAATGCAGTTAATATAAGACTACTTTACAAAGCTCCGAGCACAATCAAGGCTTTCCATTCACAGTTGGATTTCATGTCCAACAGCACCCCGAAATTCAAGAATTTTCTTGAGAAATTAGAGTGCTGACATTTTACCATTTGTGATTGATGGTTAATGATAAGTCGTGATTATTTGTGTATAATTTTAAATCATCAAAAGTAGGTTGGGGGTGTACGTTTTAATGAAAGTTCCTTGGTTTTATTTCTCTTTAAAATGACATTTTCACCAAATCTCTTTACACTGTAGTCCCACTTGTCTTTTGTCGTCTCATCAGTGCAGGACGCATTAACTGTCAAGTCTGTACGCCCCGAGACCGGAGCTTGCTCTCAGTGGGATCCGATCAGCCAGACCACATGCAGAGGTGGCCTTTAATGAACAAAAAAACTGGGGAATTCTATAGTGAAGAATTTCTAAGAAATGAAAGGAGTTTATCACTGAATCGGCAGAGCTTTGGTAGCGGCTGTCTTCTTATACCGTAGGTAGGAAGGGCACGCAGCAAAGATAATGTGGGACTTTTATTGTGAAGAATTTAAAGGAAATGCGATGTGTAGTTATCAACATTTCTTTTGCCACTTCTTTGACCATGAAAGTTATTCTGCCAGGCAGGTTATATTGAAGTATCAAGTCTGGACACACTCACCCGAACACAATAAAGTCACATTAAAAAGACGGAAATCCCCAGTAGATGGTCTGAGCTGTGGTCTGGTTGAGATGGTTTAGGCTCATACAAGTATTGCAGTATAATATATACAGAGTTAAAAATTCTGGAAATTATAAAATTTTTACGTTTACACAAACATTTTTGATAAGGATTCCTTAAATTTGGTTCATAAAGAGTTGGGACCAAGGAACTTATTACAGTGTAATAATAAACGTGTCCGTGCTCTCTGGTAGACAACATGCAGTATGCGTGGTGACCTATCGGAGTGCAGTATGCGTGGTGACCTATCGGAGTGCAGTATGCGTGGTGACCTATCAGAGTGCAGTATGCGTGGTGACCTATCGGAGTGCAGTATGCGTGGTGACCTATCGGAGTGCAGTATGCGTGGTGACCTATCGGAGTGCAGTATGCGTGGTGACCTATCAGCCAACATGCATTCTGAAATCAGCCATGCTGTTGGTCAACAGCTCATTTAAATGGGTTGCAGAACCTAAGTGCTTGGCCATTGAACTCGTACGATAACGAGTTGAGGCTCCCAGCAGATGTTCCTCACCAGTCCTCCTGTCCTCTGGGTTGGCAGACCCTAATCTAACCATGGTCCCAACCTACACTACCTGTGGGATGGTGAATATGGAGCTTGGAAGTGCTGCTCTGAAGGCTCAGGTCAGGGTAAAAACGTCTGATACTGGAGGAATAAAAATGGCTGCCACGGCTGATGCTATCTGTACGCACAGACTGTCCTTTAACACCAATATGAATGATTTAGACTATGGTTGTCCATTTGGATAATATAACAATGTGATGATGACAATTTACGTGACATTGTCAATGATGACTGGAGAAAATGCTCTACCTTTACCTGCCTTTGCTAATGTAAATGAAAGTACATTCCACAGTCCTATTTATATAGAGAAATATGTACATACTGTATGCATTAAGAACTTTATAAATCAGTGGATGTAAATGGTTTGATGTGACCAGTTTGCAGTATTTATCATCATCATAATCATCGACCAAAACCCATGTGTGTTTCTGCCTTTTCTTGTCACTCATCCTGCTTCCAAGTCCTGCATATTTGGTGGGAATGGTAGATGGACTGTACTTGTATTTCTCTTTTCTAGACCACTCAAAGCTCTTTAACACTACATGTCATCATTCACCCATTCATACTGATGACAGGAGCTACCATGCAAGGTGCACCTGCCCATCAGGATTCTAACTAACATTCATACCACTACTGTCGCTCAGTGGTAGAACTTTAATCAGAGGATCGGCGGTTCGATCCCCGGCTCCACTAGTCCATGTCGATGTGTCGTTGGGTAAGACACTTAACCCCAGATGCTCCATAGCTGTGCTTATGGTGTGTGAATGTAAATGTTAGTTAGAGTCCTGATGGGCAGGTGTCACCTTGCATGGTAGCTCCTGTCATCTGTGTGTGTGAATGGGTGAATGATGACATGTAGTGTTAAAGCTCTTTCAGTAGTCAGAAGACTAGAAAAGAGAAATACAAGTAGAGTCCATTTACCATTTACCCATTCACACACCACAGACACAGCCTACGGGAGCAATGTTTCCAGTTGAAATTGGGTGAGAGACGGGTACACCCTGGACAGGTGCTGCAGTCAACCACAGGGTTGACACACGTGGTCAGCTGTAGTATATACACTTTCTTATTTTTTTAAGTATGCCATTTTGAACGCAGTGAAAGAAAAAAATCATTCAGACCTTTGGGAAACAAACTAAACTACATGTTTTTGGACTGCTGGAGCAATCCAGAGAACACCCTTCAGAGAGCACCCAGAGAACACCCTTCAGAGCACCAGGAGAACACCCTTCAGAG